ATTGACTGAATTCGTTGTAGAGTACCACGCTTCCCAAAACTCTCTGGCGTGTTTTGTACTTCCATGTGATGGGATCTTAACATTCTCCAGATCGAAATAGTGGCCTTCTTGATCTTCGTGCACAGAAACCAATGAGTGCGAATCATTTTTCCTGACGGCCACCTTGTGTTCGGTAATTCGTGTACAAAGCTTTCTTCTAGTTTGTCCGACGTAGTTTTTATCGCAGTCGCTGCATTTTAGCAGATAGATGACATTACATTGGTCGGCTTGAGTGAATTTTTCTTTGGGCCTTGAGATCAATTTCCTAAGGGTCGCACTTGGTTTGTGAGCCACAGTGATCCCATGTGACTGCAGCAATCTTTCTGTTAGTTCGGAGACGTTCTTGATGTAGGGGAGCACTATTCGTTTGTTTGCTTGCTCAGGTGACTGCTGCTGCTGTTGATGAGACATTTGTTGCTTTAGGCTTCTTCTGATGAAATTTCTCGGATAACCGTTGTTTCTAAACACTAGATATAGGTGCTGCTTTTCTTCCTGTTTCCGCAATTCGGCTGTGCTGCACTGCGTTTTCGCTCTTTTGAATAGGGTTTGAATGCAGCTCTTCTTGTGGTTCATCGGGTGGTTGCTGTGGTAGTTTAATATCTGGTCCGTATGCGTTTTCTTCCGATATACGCAGGTTTGCAGATCCGTCGGGATTCCTAGTGACCAGCACATCCAAAAATAGCAACTTATTATCCTTCATTTCATTCATGAGGTTGGGTAAGTGTGATCACGGCCGAACGTACACAGTGGCTGGTCAACCACTGCATCCCGCTCTTTTCGTGCGCGACCTCGGTGTACTCTCACGCTGCGACCTAAAGTCCATTGACAACACGAATAGGCTGTACCAAAACAGCCTTCGTATGCTTTGGGCTCTCAGGCGCAGCTTCAGCAATTGGTCCGAAGAGATTGCTTCTCGCCTCTTCGTCTCGATAATACGACCAATGCTGGAGTACGGCACTCCCGCATACTGTCCCATCACCCGGGGCGAAGTAGAAAAGCTTGAGCGAGTGCAGCATGTAGCCACCAGGCTGATTCCCAACTTACGAGGTATGCCATATGAAGACCGATGTAAGAAACTAGTTCTGTACACCATAGCATATCGTCGGCTGAGGGTAGACCTAATCATGACGCACCGGATATTACATCTGAGTGATTACCCCATGTTGAGACAACTGCTTCATCTGCGTACACAACGCTGCACGCGAGGACACCGGTACAAACTTATCGTACCGCAGTTGAAGCGGGTAGCTCACCAACTCTGTTTCGAACGCAGAGTGGTGAATGTCTGGAACGACCTGCCTCAGCATATAGTAGAAGCCAACACAGTGTCTAAATTCAAGACGCTACTAGACCAACAATTTGCAGAGGCGAAGTACAGAGAGCGACACGATGAATAAAGAGTTTATGTCCGAAAACGACGAATGACGCAGCTACACAGAGCAACCTCTACTCGCTGCTTCGCACCAGTTCTCAGTCCTCAGGCTTTTAGCCAGCCATTACTTAAGAAATTCCTTTGATCGAATAGGGGAATTGGAACATACGTCGTTGAGAACTAAGCTAATGTACTTGATAGACGTGGAATCACTTGTTACAAACATACCACTGCGCGAAACAGTTGATGTATTGTGCAACTTTCTCTTGAGCCCGAAGATTTCTGCGGGCATTCGACCAGAGTTCCTGAGCAAACCGATTTCACTGTGCGCAAAATGTCCGATTTGAGTTGGTAGGAACTGCGCAGAAGCAGATAAATGGCGTTGCAATGGGCAGTCCTTGGGGACCTGTATTGCCGATATTCTTCTGGGGGAAAATTGCAACTAGCATTGGTGAAGCAACATTGTACAAGCGTTATGTTGATTACATCTTAGTCTTCACCAGCAGTGATCATTTCGGTCGTCATTTTGCTCTTTTGAGTTCGATTCACCCCAATCTTCAAGTATACAAAGTGATGGAACAACAGAGTAGCATGTCGTTTTTGGACGTTTGCATGGGACCAGACACACTTCAACGCACTGTGCACAGCAGAGCTACATGGAGTGGGCAATATCTCCATGTTGCTAGCTTTCCTCTAGTCGCGGACAAGCGCAGCCTTGTGAAAACTCTGTTCTGTGAAAACTCTGTTCTGTTCTGTGAAAACTGTTCTCTGCATTTGTAGCACTGAGACAATGAAAGCCGAAGAGGAGTTTCTACACAGAACTATATTGTTTAGTGGGTATCCAGAGAAGTTTATCGAGATTCAGAGCTGACCATCTGAAGTGAAGCTACCGGTGCACACAGAAAAGAAAAAAGATGTTCATCTGCTCTGACCGTTCAAAGGTGATCACACCGCAAACGACATTGGGCACAAGCTCAGGTGTACCTTAAAGCACACTTACACAACAGGCCAGTTGCGACTCATACACATCACACGAAAGCTGGTGCCTCACTACCATCTGAGTAGTGTGGCTTCTCACGTTATCTACCCGTACAACTGCAGCTGCGGTGACATTTACATGGCAGAGCTGATCGTCGACTGGTTCGAAGGGTGGCTGAACACCTTTCAAGTTGGTTAAGGCAGTCTATGTCGTAACAAGGCAGAGTGGACCAAGTGGCAATGCACAACCCATTCGCGTCCATCGCAAAGCACCTCGTGACCACGGAACATCACGTGGACACATCGAGCGCTTTCAAAATACTCCTGTGTGTTGCGCTTGCCAGCCCACCGACTCCCGCGAGGTGTGTTGTTTGCGCGCCGGGAGTGTGGATGAAAGAAAAGGTGGCCGAGCGATGACTTGATCAAAAGGAATGAGGGTCCTCACTTCAAGTTGGCCTCAGATGGATCCTCTGGGCTCCTTGGATAGAGGCCGAAAGACGAACACGTTTGGATGGACACACTCGTTGACATGACAAGGAGCCGAGCTCAGTGGCGTTTGTGTTGTTTTTTGTCCTTCCCCCTCCAACCACGATCTAATTAACTAGGCATAATGTAATTCTTTTTGCGGCACAATAACCGGCTGTTAGCTCTTCGGAACGATGTCCATCCGTTACTGGTAGCTCAGCCAGTGTGGCTATGTCGCATGTTATTTTTATTCTCTGCCTTTGTATTGCGGCACGAGAACTGGCTAACGTGTAAAACACAACACACACTACTGCGTGATAGCAATCCGAAAAAGCAGGCAATAGGCGAAGCGTTTTTGATCACGGGGAATCGTGAAGCAGTTGGCGCACAAAAGCAATGGAGGCAATCAGTTAGACTGCCGTGGTCCTAATTATCCCACTGATTTTTGTTCATGAACGTTAGCCTCAAGTTTGTACTCGTGTATACTTCTTGTGCATAGTGCGTCCGCGACTAACGAAAGCCATCGAAATGTGAACATATCGCGATATTTGTCTTCTTTATGCATTGATGAACAAGAGAAGAAAAATGACCGTATATCCTAGAGACAACTACGTCAGGATACATAACAGTGGCCTAACCAAAAAAAGAACAGAACGCTAGGATGGATGAAAGGTTAACCAGAAGGAACAGATACCGAGCAAGCAAAGCAATATTTGTCGACGAGTCAATTGGTTGGCGATTCGTGCATAGGTTGGATGAGTGGGCCACAAGTGGTTAGAATCAACAAGAACGAAGAGCAAAACTGCCCCAAATAAATGTGTGGATTGACTAAAACGGTACTGAGTAAGCAGCAACAGCAGCCCTGTATCAAGAAAAGTGAACCGATGACTAACGGTGGCACATTGAATTGAGTTTCTGTAAAACACAAAAGATAATCTTTTGTACAAATAGCGTGTGTAGCGATTACTACCCAGTCTTCATTCTGATTTTCAGAGGGCTATTACCCTCGCACAAGCGCGAAAAGAAGATACAGTTGATCATCTACAAAAGGTAGCTGGGGCTCTGGCTAGCGCAAGCGCCTGGTAGGTGGAGTAGGAGAGTGGTGTTACTAGGCTCTATAATTAGTATGACTCCCGATTCACTGCGGCGTATGCAGACTTAGGGCACCATAAAGAATTTCAAGCTTAGTACCCGCATACCTGACAGCACAGTGCAAAAAAACGTGCGAGTGCTACGCAGCTAATTGCTCACACACCGCGAAGCAGCATGATAGACTACATATTGTTCAAATATAAGTAGGATAGATGCAGTATAAAACCCGTAAGGTCATTCACAAAATCTCCAGTGATAAAAGATAGGTCCTATGACTAGTTGACACATTGAATACGGTTACTATGTGAAGGTTAGTTAACACTATCAACAGTGGATTGAACTAGACTGGCTAGCAGTGGGTAGATTACTTCCAGAACCAGTGAAACGATGAGATATGAAGATAATAAGCAGATTGGATACAATCGCTAAACGTTATTACGTCTGCACTCAAGCATAACACACAATGGCCTACTTTGGAAACGCGGCCATTCTAAAGCAAAAGATATGGTACCGAAAGGATCAGTTGGCTGTTTAACCTAGTGAGTGTCTGATTTTTTCCGGCAAAGAGACCCAATATGTGGCTTTAACTTTGATTAGTCGATGTGGCATCTGACCACAGGCCTAAAAGCCTACGGTTAATGTTAATGATATGCAACGGTGACGAAACCGATGCATTTATGGTTAACATTGTTCTAATGTATACAAGCTGAATTATTCGTGGGTACGATGAATGTAATTAACACCATTCTTCCGAGGAGAGCGAATGCTTGCTTCGAGTCAATGGTCAACAACTGAGCCACCATGATCGGTATGTAAACGCACCCAGTCGCATGTAAGGCATTAGCATCACGCCGGTACGCAGTACTGATGTTTCGCTACTGAGCAACCATCAACAGTTGCGTGTGGGCTACGGGTACTACGACGGTCGCCCAGTCCCCTAGTCAGGCGCGAACTCGCGCTCACGAATTACAAGGCAGGCTTATTATTCTTTGGACTACGGGCCTCAGCAGACCAAATCAAGAGCTAGGACTGAAGTGTAACAAATGTAGCTCACCTATGCCTGATGCTGACATTACAGAGATGAAACTTTTGCATAGAGGCTGGTAGAACCTGTAACAGATCCCAAAACGTAGGCAGACAGCCAGATGAAAGATGAATGGACTTCAAATGGGGGCAATTCCGAAGCACCGGGAGCAACGCAGAGTGTACCTGCAAAAAGTTGTTTGCAACTACAAAAAATCAATGAAAATATGTAATGGAGCACTTACAAGTCAAGGAGAGATGTAGTGTATGCTCACCGATTAATTTCTTGCACAGACTTTTAAAGAGCGCCAATGGAATAGCATGTTGACGTGACCAGTGGAACCGGACCCACAGACACTGATGACGTGTTAATGAGCGCCATCGCTTGTTCACTCTGCCATGGTAGGTTTACGAAGCATCACTAAGACCGCGTACCCAGAAACAGCTCGAAGAAGGTCATAGTGATCCAGATAAGAGAACACTAGCAGTAGAAGTTCATCCGGCAATCGGTTAATGAGCGATTCTGACATAGCAGAAAATGCGGATAATCTGCACTACACTGTGGTTCGCTAAAACAGTGGGATAAATAAAGCCGCCGATAAGATTTGATGGACAGCAATCTGCATCTCCTTAAGAATGAATAGAAATGTTCCGAGTGAGCAGAATATCGCAAGTAAAAGGAACTGGATCTGAGCATATGCGGAAGACTGAAACATTCGTGTTTACCTTTTGTCCCACGGGATGGCTAGATGAAACTTATGCATACTATCCGCGATAAAACTATCAACACTTAAGCTGTGAAATGCGATCTAATTTGCTTCCTGTTATTCGCGCATGATCCTGCAATTCCAGTACATATTGATCAGATCAGTTTCCGCACGGACCAAGTCAGATAGATTAGACAAAGAGTAATGACGGAGTGGAGTCCTTGAATTACAAACACGAACAGAAAGCTCGCGATGACTGATTCTCTGCAACAGTAACTAAATGAAATGAATTTGGCAGAAAGCCAGCCACGGCAACCCGTTCAGATGACAAATGAGAGAAGTCAGTTAAGTGCATCCAGGTATATATATATATATATATATATATATATATATATATATATATATATATATATATATATATATATATATATATATATATATATATGGGCTAAACCAACTTACACTTAAACTAGGTCTTTTTAATGTGGATAAAATTCATTACATGTTATTTGGTTTGTTCTGCGTACTTGATAATCCTCTCCTTACTTGCACACGTCGCTCACGCAAACTGTGGTAAATTTGCGTAATTTTATCGTGTGGTATTTTTTAAATAACTTTCGGACATTTTGTTCTTATCACAGATGATTCACTTATAACCAATTTCTTCTATATGCTAATTTAGCGAGTATTTATGTCGTCATATGCGTTCACTTTAATCGATATCGGAATTTCGAATGATTGGCTATTATTTGACATCCCAGGTGTGGCTGCGCTTGATGTGCTTGTTGACAAGGTGCCTACCTGTCTATTACCCACTACCTCGTCCATACTGGCTCCAGGAGACAGTTGGTCGTTGCTGAAGGGAACGGGGTGCACGGTCCTTGTGGTCGTGCTAGGCGAAAAGAGTGCTTCCATGCACTCAGTGTGGAGCGGACCACGGTCTAGCCAGCACTTTGTGTGCGGTTTATTCCCCAAATACAGCGTGCTTGTGTTTGTCTGTGAAGGAGTGTGGGCCGGCTCCGTTGATGAAACGTGGCTCCCATCCGCATGCCTCCCGGTCTTATTCCTTCGGGTTTACACTGGATATGGGGTGTGTGGATGGAGCTGTGGGTGGTGAAGCGCAAGCCATCCATGGTCCCTCCGTAGGCGCAGGCGTCCTGTGGCTGACCACAGTGACAGGCAAATCCGAAACCGGATGCCGCCAACCATGATTATATATACATATATATAGAGGGACCATGGATGGCTTGCGCTGCAACACACAGAGTTCTTCAACGGTTCGCAGGCGACTCTTGGAAATTGGTAGGAAAGCCAGACGGCATGTGAAAAAACAACTTCTGACAAAAGTAATGAAAGTTAAGCGCTACAAATGGGGACTAAAATACAAAAACTGGACAAAAGAAGATTGGAGAAAAGTCCTATTCAGCAATGAAAGCCATTTCTATGTTCATGGTCAGAGAAGTCAGTATGTTCAGAGGTCAGAGGGAGAAAAGGTTCGTGATTCCCACATTGACCACTTTGTGAAACACCCACAAAAGCAGATGTTTTGGGGGTGCTTTAGTTATTACGACGTCGGCGCCTTGCATTCAGTCCACGGCATGATGCGCTCCCCACAATATATAGAAGTTCTCCAGAGAAGAGCTGTTCCAGAACTAAAAAAGACCTTTCCTGTCGGATCTGGTGTATTTCAACATCTTGGATCCCTGTACCAAAGTTGAATTAAAGCTTGAATAAGTTTCTCCTTTGTCGTACAGTCCATGCCACGAAGGCGATGCTTGCAAATAGACCACATATCTTCAATGGGGTTTAAATCTGGTGAGTTCTCAGGCCAGTCCAAGATGGTTATTTGATTAGTATTGAAAAATGTCTTGACCATTTTTGATGTGTGGCACGGGGCCAGATCCCGTTGAAGAACTGATTTCTATTCCTTTCTCCCCCAAATCACGTTTTAACACGTCACTAGTCTTTCGAGGATCTTTAACACTTTCCCGTATTAGGTAAGCGTCATCCCTGGCAGTGGTTTTCCTCTTAGGACAACATTTCCCTTTGCGTTTTGCCGAAATGCATCCCGTTTCCTTTTCCTTTTAGACCACACGGCTGACTGTTGCTGGACTGACGCCTACTATTCTTGCTATGTCCCTGTAGGTCTTGTCTGTGTGTTCCTGCAAGGTCACGATCTTCATGCGCCTTCTGGGAGTCACGTCCATCTCAAACAATGACTGAATCACAAAAAACAAGAAGTTGAAACAAAAACCTTACTAACCATAAAAAGTATGACTCAATCTTGGGTGATGTAACGACTAGACATGCGCAGTTATTACATCGTCTGATTCACAAACAATGATGAAATATCTATTCTCAAAATGAAATAAATGCCAAAACGGCAGCTTTCATGTATAAAAACATGACATTCATAGAAAAAGAGACACATTCGTAGTTTGTTTCAATTAATGTGCACAAGGATGTATATATTAAACAGGGCAGGAGCTAAGACACAGCCTTGCTTCACACCAGAGACAACTGCAAAGTCATCCGAGGTCTCTCCACTCAGCTGCACCCTCGCTCGCATACCACTGTGCAGACATTAAATTAAACTTACAAACTTACGCGGGCAACCAAACTTACCCAACACTAGCCACAATGCCTCGCGGTTCACCGTATCAAATGCCTTCGTGAAGTCAACAAAAAGCGAGTACAATGGCTGGTGCCGTTCTCTGCACTTCTCTTGCAACTGATGAGCCGCAAACACCATATCTATAGTGCTGCGACCCGAACGGAATCCACACTGCTCTTCCGCCACGTTAGGTTCCACAACCTGACTGACGAGGCGGTTGAGCAGGATTCGGGCAATAACCTTGCCCACACAACTCAACAAGTTGATGCCACGATAATTCGTGCAACATTGCTTGCTACCTTTGCCCTTGTACAGTGGTAGCACAAGGGCATCTTTCAGCTCAAGATGCACCTCCCCCTCAATCCACACGCGTTGCACCAAGTGGTGAAGCGTAGTCAACAACGCGGGTCCGCCGTGTTTCAATACTTCAGGCGGGATCCCGTCGGCTCCGGCACACTTGCCGTTTCGCACCTGAGCAAGTGCTCTCGGCGTCTCATCCAGTGTCGGCGTATCCGCCAGATCCGCCTTCACATCGTGCTGCTTCAGGCCGTTCAGTGTAGGCCAGTCGATCTCTGAACGGTTGTTCAAGAGACAGTCAAAGTGTTTCCGCCAGATCTGCATTATGTCTGCAGTCTGGGTGCAGGTAGCGCCTGAACTACCATCGATCAGTGTCCTCAGCGGCTCCAATCTCGGTCCATACACCGTCTTCAAGGAGTCAAAGAATTCCTTGTGTTGACGGCGTTCGACGTAGCATTCTATCTGCTTCGCCTTCTCCGTCCACCATGCATTTTTAATGCGACGGAGCTCTCGGGTCAGTCGCCGTCGAAGTTTGCGAAACTGACTACTCTTCCCCAAGTCACTGGGGTCTGCAACATATGCAGCAAATGCTGCATTCTTCTCCGACACCAATGCGCTGATCGTCACATTGTTCTCATCAAACCAATCAGGCCGTTTACAGTTTGCGCGCCCGATGGTCTCCTCAGCAGCAGCTGTCACCTGATCGCGAATGTGGTGCCACAGGTCACCCACTGTGGCTATGCAGTCCACATCACCACACAGGCGTGCAGCCATCGCCTTCTCCAGCTCAGTACGTTTTGCCACAGTACCGAGGGAGAGAATGTTAAATTTACGCCGATTCACAGCGGGAGTGCAATACACAGATTTACGAAAATATATGTACAGTTTGCTCCGAACCTATCTGTGATCGGTGCCACACTCAGCTCCACGCAATACACGTGTCACGCGCACTTCACGCATATCACGCTGACGTACGATGATATAGTCGAGCAGGCGAGCGTGACCACTCCGTGGGTGCGTCCAAGTTGCTATATCACTCGCACTCAGTGCAAACCGAGTGTTCGTGACCGTCAGGCCGTGAGTGGCACACAGTGAGAGCAGCCTGTCACCGTTCGCATTCGCTGAACCAATGCCATGCGAACCGATAACATCTGTAAACGCTGATGCATCACGCCCAACGCGCGCGTTGAAATCACCCAGCAGAAATAGTCGGTGGCTCCTCGGCACAGACCGTCTCACGGAGGATAGCTCAGTGTAGAACTGATCACGCGTGTCATCAGGATAACACATGGTCGGACCGTACGTGCTTATAAAAGTAGCAAACTTACCTCTTCCGAGTCGTAGGCGAACAGTCATCAGTCGCGCGCTGATGCCCGTTGGTTCACCTACCAGCTGGCCATGGAGGCGATCGGATATTGCAAATCCGACCCCATGTTCATGTGGTGCTGAGGCGGCATTGCCCACCCAGTAGAATGTGTAGCCAGCACCTGCTTCATGCAACTTACCTTGCTCAGCGAGCCGAGTTTCATTGAGCGTCGCAATATCGATGTTGTAGCGCGCCAGCTTCATCGCGACCAGTGCAGTGCGTCGCTCCGGGCGCTCGCTGGAGTTCCGGTCCAGTAGTGGGCGCACGTTCCAGCACCCGATGCTGAGTGCTTTGCGCGCAGGCATACGATTGCATTGGTGGGCAATCGAACGCGAGGTGGTCGTTGTGCTTCGGAGATTTGCTTGAGGGACTCCACCCGGAGCCTTTGGCTCAATAGCCTGACCCAGAAGGCAGTGGGTGATTTGGAGGTTTGTTTGAGGAACTCCACCCGGAGCCTTTGGCTCAATAGCCTGACCCAAAAGGCAGTGGGGAGCAGATCCAGCTCGGGAATGTGATTGCAGAGACAGATGAGGATCTGCTTGACGGCCGTCACACGCAGCCTTTGAGGTACTGGAACAATTATTAT